GTTGTCGAGCAGTTAACATTCATCACACAGCTATCTGCACAGTTTGCAGTTAGACTTACTCCAACACAAAGAAAACAAATTAACAGGATGCTGACACAAACCCAGAAATGGAGCTTGTCAAATTCAAATGTGTGCAGAGATTTCCATTTGGAATCACGGGCAGGTGAGTCGTCACGGCCCACCAGCTTTATTTGAACAAACCCTTGGTCTGTTTGAACCTGAAGCTGGCATGAGTGACTCAGAAACCACAGCCTTCCTACGGCATCAGACTATCAAATCTCACAGCGCAGACGGTCCTTTCCTCACGTAGATGAGACGTAATCCCTATCAACGCTGCAGTCTGACACACTTCTGAGCACTGATCATTAAAGAGATAGCTCATCATCATTTGCTCAACCTCACTACAAACCAGAATGAAATTTAAGCTATTGCTCACAGATAAACCTCTGATGCAGCTCCCAAATCTCATTCACGCTCATATTCAATTAAATAAAATCAATGTCAAACCAAAGTGACACCAGTTTGAATACGCAGAATGAAAAATCATAAGATAAAAAAATAAAAGATTTTAGGCTTGTCATACAGCTTTAGAAGACTCAAAATACAGTACAAATCATATTAAACTTTTTAATATCAAATGTGTATATATGTTTCGTGCATTATTAGTATAAAATGTGTACACAATGGGCACTCATCATAAAAATAATTTATAATAACATTAAATATTCATACTTATCAGTATAAACTGAGTATACAATTTATACTATTAATTCACAAAACAAGAAAAAGAAGAAATTTGTTTACTTTTTGTGATTTTTAGTATAAATTACATAAAATTTACACTCATAATTCAAAAAATAAATAACATGAAAAATGTATACTTTCTGTGAATCGCCCATATTGATTTTACAGTTTAAACATTATACACAAAATATCTAAAAATATAGATATATGATATTATTATTTAAAATAATACAATATCAAATATTTAGACTTTCAGTATAAATTCACAAAATATCAAATACGTAAACTTATGTATACTTTTGTATGTACTTTGTTTTCTGTATAAATTGCATGTAAAATTTACACTCATAATAAATAAAAAATCAATAACAATACAGATAATACCAAATATTTATACTTTCAAAAAAAGAAAAATATGACATTATTTAAAATAATAATAATAATTAGTATTATTATTATACTTTTTAGTATAATTTAATAAACAATCAATTTATACTTAATTCACAATAATAATAATAATAATAATGCTAAATATTTAAACTTTCTGTGAATTTTCAGTATAAATTGTAGTAGCCTATATAATTTAAAACCAGTTCACAAAAAATACCGCTCCCGAATCTCAATAATGCTCATGTTTGAATATGGAGAATGAGATTTCAGAGCTACGGCAATGGAAAGATTTTAGTCTTGTCACAAGGCTTCAGAAGACTCGAAATACAGAACAGATCATACAGACTACCTTTAATCATTTTGGAGTTTGACATCATATGTCCCAAATGGCTTCAAAGAGCACCCAGGATATTTTTCAAAATTTATTTTTTCGCGTCCCACAAGAGTAACAACAGCATTTGGGTTTGGAACGACATGAAGGTGAATAAATAAAGGACGAATTGCCATTTTTCAGCGAAGCTCTCCTTTAATCAGAGCCAATATAAATCTTAATTCTGTCTCAGAGGGACATGAAACTAAATGTTCCAAAGTGTCACCAAAGCAAAAGCAGGGCCCTTTTCTTCAATAAACACATCCCGGCGTAAAACTTCCTTCTGTTTTCGCCGCCTCTGTTGGATGAAAGATAAAGCTTTTGCTTTGACTCGTGAAGGCAGATGGTCGCCATACTGGGCAAAACGAATTCAGATGTGGCAAATGAATCAAGATTACTTCAACATGCAAAAGGCTTTGAAAGAACAGAAAAGGGAGCCATTCTATTTATTGCATTTTCCTCTGTGTAATTAAATAGTCAGGACTTTTATGTAGCTTCCACGTCTTTTTTTGTTGTTTCTACAGACGCCTAGTTAATTTACTCATTTAGTTGCGGGCATGAGATTTGTGTTTTCGTCTAATTTGCCAAGAGCAGTAGTCCTACAGCGTGTAAATACGGATGAATCTCGGTGACATAAAATGATTTGAGGAAGGAGGCTTTTACTACAGCCCACAAATATCAGCATTCAAAGACCTCCAACATATTTATTTATTCTTTATCCAAGACATCCAACTCCAACCTTCCGCCACATGCTGTTTCAATATATATTCAACTATATTTTTCATTAATTACAATTACCCCAACTCAGCTGTCTCATAAATTTACAGACCATCATCATAACTGGGGGAAAATCAGAAACATATTTGGCGCTCGCAGTCACCGAAGAAGGAAACGTAACTTAATAGCGCGTCTTTCTCGAGGCCCTAATGAAGTGGCAAATGCGATTCAGAGCCATTGGATGTTTTATTTCCCTCCTACATCCTCGCCACACACGGCAGCGCCTGTCTGCGTCTGCACAAGACCTGCAATCATGCGAAATCCATTTCTCTCACACCGAAACGTGTAGATTAAAGGCTCTTGGACGTGTACTTGAACAGGAAGGAGGAGGAGAAATGGCTCACACGTTCAAATCTCCATCATCTGTCTCCGTGTGTGTGTGTAGTTTCCACAGAGTCAGACTTCATGTCGAGAGCTGACATCACTCTTCCTAGTCTTTCAAACAGCCAAGGTTTTACAAACAATACACATGAGGGAAAGTCAGGCTAGACACAAGAGTGGGGATGTGATTTTTCCTTTTTTTTCTCCAGAAAAAAAAAACAGAATTGACTGTGGAAGAAGAAAATAGTATGAAACCTCAACTAATACAGGCACACGGGACTTTAGAATAAGCAATTTGCGATTTTTTTTCATCGAATTGTGATTTTGCACAAACAACTTGCATGTCCGCTAGCTCATTTGGCTTAGCATTTTATTATAACGTTACATGACAGTATAATACGCTGTCAAAAAGCTATTTACTATAACTAACAACTTCATTTCAAAGAATACAAACAGCTAATAGTATTTCAAATAAAATGTTTCAAAATTATAAAGGCATAATGATGTTTGTAATACTGTTTACAACACATTTTATGAAATATAAACATAAACAGTGTCCCGAACTGAACAAACAGAAGCTTTCGAGTCTCGCTTCCGGTTGACGTTCAGACTAAATAAACAAATGGCCAGAACTGAATATTAACCTCACACGTTTAAGTACGTTAACTGAACATTTTTTTACCTTACGTTATGAATTATTCAATCCATCCACATGTGCTCTTTCAAACTGCGAGGCACTTGTCTCGGATGTAAACACACTGGTCAGCGCGTGTCTATTTGGCGTCACGCGGGTCTGCCAGGGATTGTGGGTAATGGAGTTTTTAATGGTTATATAACGCAATAGCTTGCGGTGGCAAGCGAGCACTGCTGTAGTTCTGCGTTTGCCCTCGTCGCATAATAAAAGACGAATTTAAACGTTAAAGAGCGCCACCAAAAGAGCTTTTGAGATTCATACGGTTAAAAAAAAAACATTTTCAAAACTTATAATTATATAAAACGTGAATACACCCTAAAATTATTAACATAACTTAAATGCGTAGTAGCTACATTTAAAAAAAAAAAAACTAGAAAATATTAGTATGACTTAAATTATTATTTTGTACTTTATAATTTTTTATTAATATTAATATTGTTACCGTTTTTATCGTGTTATCGCCTGACTTTCTGTAGTATTATTTTTTCCTTTTTTTGCATATAAAAAAATAATAACGAGCCCAAAAATATTAAAATAAGCTATATGCATTTTAAATGTCAACAAAGGGTCGTAATTCCATATACTTGAATGCTGTTGTCGTGACTTCTGTGCTTTTGTTGTTGTCTGATCTTGTATAATATTAACTTTAGCTCGGGCTCTTTATCTGTCTTTAGAAATAGGAAATGAGTCACTTCTCTTCTCTTCGCTTGTTTGCTTTCTGTCTGGATTTGAATGAGTTGTGTTTATGTCTCTTTATGAGCCTTTATGTCTCTCAGTAGCGAACAGTGAAAGAAAACTCGCTGACTTCACCCTGTTACCATAATAAAGCATATATTGTTGAATATTTTGCTTAATATGTGTTTAAAGTTCGTCTTTTATATCCTTATTGAACTTGGAACGTATTTGCTTGATCTTAACATTTTAAGATAGCCTATTCAATCACAAACGTGCTGCTGTAGACTGTCTCTGTGTGGTGTTTGCTGCATTGCTTTGGTAAGACAAGAAAATATCAAACCACTGCTATACAAACTGCTCATTTATTTTGATGCCATGAAATGGTGCTTGGAGACATGACGTGCTCAAGACTCATCAGCATAATAATCCTCCTGCTTCTGCATATATATATAAACCACAAAAAACCTGAGCTCACCCAAGTCCCTGCCTCCTAAGACAAACCACACAACGAGACAAAACACTGCGGCTTTCCAGCGTCTTCATCTTTCTAACCACAAGCTTTGGAATCACCTTTTTAACCCTTCACAAAGACTCTGCATGGAGAAAGAAAGGTCTTAAGGACTTTTGCAAACTTCTTAACTTTCTTTTTTCACTTCTTATATGGTGGCACGTTTTAGGAAGCGCGTTGAAGTGAACTCTCCGAGCGAGTGCCGTGCGTAATGAGAAGCGACTCGCTTTTATTCCGGATTTTGACGTTTGTTACTGCAAAGGAGAAGCAAGTAAATTATGTCGGTGGTTCTTCTGAGCATAACCAGGAGCTCCCGCGCGTTTATTTCCACGCGATTCACCTGTAGAGCTCGCGCGTAAAGCCCGAGGGGAACCGACCTTATCCAACTTTTTCGATTTCTGGAAAGCGCCTAACGGACTTTCTATAGATCCCATCTATTTTGAATCGACAACTCTTGACTTTGGTGCTGGTTTGAAGTGCCCTTACCTTTGCTGACATTGTTGTGATGCGCATTCCGGTAGATCCGAGCACCAGCCGCAGGTTCAGTCCGCCGTCCAGCAGCCTTCAGCCGGTGGCGGGGAAGATGAGCGATGCGCAGCAGGAGCAGAACGCGGCGCTGCCGAGACTCCGACAGCACGACAACCGGACGATGGTGGAGATCATCGCGGACCACCCCGCCGAGCTCGTGCGGACGGACAGCCCCAACTTTCTGTGCTCAGTGCTGCCGTCTCACTGGAGGTGCAACAAAACTCTCCCGGTGGCGTTTAAGGTCAGAAAGACGGTTTAATAAGATGTGATTAAGAAACGTGTTTCTTTACAAACATCATATGATGTTTAACAGAGCAGTATTTACATATGGTTAAACTTTATATGAGAGATTTCTGGCTATTTGCATGCACTTTAACTAGTGATCTGTTCATTTTCGACATTTTAATACTTAATAGATCAGTGCATCTTTTACATTCATTTACGAATGTATTTTTTATTATCAATTTAAACCAGGGAATTATTGGCCCCATTCAGATTTGAATCTCTTTTACGAGACCTGGCCAACATCCAGACGGCATTAAAAATACACAACATTACATACAAGCACACTTTAATATGAGTAGGAAAGAAATCATTTATAATAGTTACAATAAAAGTTTCTAACTGTTTATGTAAATGTAATCTCAAAGTTTCAGGACAGTTTGCAAGTAGAAAAATTTAAATAGATCTCAAATGTAATCAAACTTTTATCCCTTTTAATACTTTTAACACTTTTAACCCCCCAAAAATCTGCAGGTTTTTACTATTGCAATGACTTATTGATTTAAAAAATGTATATAATGTTTTATCAGTGTTTCTTTTCCACATAAACAGGTGTGCTTTAATGGATTTAATGGTATTTTTTTATCATTATTATTTACATGTTCAGATCAGATGTTAATTTATGGGAGTCACAGATGTTTCAAATGAGGAATCCTGCAGTGCTGGAGAGCGACAAGTGAAATCTGAGAGATTTGAAGCTATTCATAGACACAAACACATGCATGTTTAATCACACGGCCTAGATTACACACAACTATTAATACTTTCACTAAAGATAGAGTATTTCATATGAGCAGACTGCAGCTAGTATCTGTAGCAGGAATCGTTTCGCTCGGGCTTATTCTGTAAACATACTTTTGTTCATTTATTTGAGCTTGTAAATCTGAGCCCTCCTGCTCACACTGAACACCAAAACATTCGCCTCAATTAAACCTTATTTTTGCTTTTTGTTGTTTTTCTCAAATAAGATTTAGTTGCTTGTAGAATTTGCATTTTATAGCAAAATCCAAGTTTTGAAAAAAAAAAAAGTGGCACAAAGTAACCTTTGTGCATTTAAGAAAAAAAAATTTCCTATATCATTTTTGGCAATAAATAAAAGTTTTTTATATATTTATTTACATTTTCATAATGCTTACATTTTAACAAAATTGGAATATATTTTTGACAGTCTGTTGAATACATTTGCTTTAGATTTTATGCTCACTGTTCAATAGTAAAGTTACAGTATTGGTGTGTTTGCATTATACTGACATCACCAGAGGTTTCTGACCAATTTAAGTGGAATTTCTTACATACACGATTTAAAAGGTCACATTTAAAACCAATCTAGCTTTTGTTTAGTGCTATATTTGCAGGTTTTAATAGATTTATCGTGTTATTAACCCTCTGAGGCCAGCAGTCTCGCTTCATATTGTCACTTCCAATCAGGATCACAAGCCTGTTTTCATCAGAATATGAATAAACAGTCAGACTGCAGTGAAATGCAGGGTAAATTACAGCGTGACAGTCACAGTGTGTCCGTTTCTGTTCAGGTTGTTGCTCTGGGAGATGTTCCTGACGCGACGGTGGTGACAGTTATGGCAGGAAATGACGAGAACTACTCGGCAGAGCTGCGAAACGCCTCAGCTGTCATGAAGAATCAGGTGGCGCGTTTCAACGACCTGAGATTTGTTGGCAGGAGTGGAAGAGGTTGGTACTTCCACTTTAATTTTATTTATTCTTCACTGGCCGCTTCGTTTGCTTTGGCTGAATCATAAAAAAGTGTAAAATCACATAAGACATTTAGTTTACAATAAATGACATCAAGTGCACAATCCAAATGGACTGAAAGTCAAGTTTTACCGCAAACAGTCCGATAAAATGGATTGATTAAGTGTATAGATTGCTTCTGTGTAGCCTTTAAAGAAATAATGCAAATTATGCACTGCATGTTTAACATGAACACAATAGGACACTGTCCAAGATTCCTCACTTACAGAAATACTGAAAAGAGCTGCAGAATTGGAAGGGAACCACAGAAAGGCATTATTATTTTCCACCAGCGTCCAACAATTTGAGTGCTTCCATGTTGAGAATAAGGGTGCTTTCCAAAAAAAAGACTGTCATTTCAGTATTCCCAAAGCCTAACGCACAAAAAAAAAAAAGAGTAGTAGGCTGTAACTGTTGCAAAATAAAAACTGCAAAGTATTTCCAATTCATTCACTGGCATTTCCTATCTAGTACTTTTGTGTTACATCCACCCTACGCACCCAAAAAAAAAAAAAAGTCTTTAAGACGTGAACGCGGGCTCAAAGTGCTCACAGACTGCTTATGTGTGGATGAATGCAGCTTTTGATATGCTTGCAATTATTGTCAAAGACAAAATCCCGCTCTTGTGATCCTGTCGGAAGAAGGCATTGAGAGCGCAGGTCTTTGAAGTGTCCCGGGACAGGCAGTGAGATCAGAGCAGCGGTCTGTCTGCCGCTGGAGGCTGCGTATACTCGGGCGAGCGGTCTAGACTTGCCCTTATAATCCACACGAGCACTTAAAGTGAGGCACAGACGTGTGCAGCAGGGAATCCCTCGCATGGCGCCCACAAACGACAGACTCAAAACACTCGAAAACAGCTCCAGGTGTTTGGGGAAGTGCAGTCGACCTCTATGGGCTTCTCAATGGCTGATGGCTGATACAGTATGCATAATGTGATAAACATCAATGTAGTCTGATATTTGGTTATTTTCAGATTTATCAGTATTAACAGCAGTGGTCATTCTGCCAGTGTTAATTCCAAAATCTGAAAAGATATAAATATATAATAATAATGCATTTTGAGTAAATAAAGTGTAAAAAAGTGTTAATTTTAATTCAATTTTTTTTTATACATTGTATTTGCTATCATAATTATATACAATTATTAAACTGCATTGGGCAATTCAATTTGTAATATACATTTTTTTATTTATACTTGTGTGTAGATATATATATATATGTATATATATGACACATAAAAGCTAACAAGATATTGTAATAATGAATTTAGTAAATATTGTGTAATGTAAAATTGTGTTAACTTTAATTACAATTATTAATGAGACACATGTAACATTTTTATAAAAAAAGACAAAAATCTATAAATAAATTTAATTATGATATATAAAATTTAAAATTAATATCTAAATGTATATATATATGACACATAAAAGCTAACAAGATATTGTAATAATGAATTTAGTAAATATTGTGTAATGTAAAATTGTGTTAACTTTAATTACAATTATTAATGAGACACATGTAACATTTTTATAAAAAAAGACAAAAATCTATAAATAAATTTAATTATGATATATAAAATTTAAAATTAATATCTAAAATGTTATGTAAAATATTATATATATATATATATAATGTCTATATAAATAATATGTTAAATAATACATTTATATGTAATTTTATATGTTTATTTATTTATTTAGATTTATATTACATTGGTCATCAGCCATCCTGTTTTGTAGATATTGTTCTGGGCTTTGGACAATAAAAAGAAAAAAAATTCAGATAACCAGATACTTTACACAACATGTACACTAAATGCATGAAAAATATTTGAAAGAAAAAAAAAAGAGAGATTTTTTTACTATCCACTGACAAGGCTGCTGATAGATTTTGGAACAAATATTAGGGGGAAAAAATGTTAATCGGCCTTGTGGGCATGAATTTGCCAATAATCTGCCCTATAAATCAGTCTATTGCAACTCTTTCATTTGCTGATGTATCTGTTATCAGTCCGAGTGGACATTGGCTGTGCATGTGGTGGTTTCTTGACCAGTGGGCTGGTCTCAGCGCATTCCTGCACCAATGCATGTCCTCACACACCCTCAACACGCTATCAGTGTGCATGTGTGCGCATCCGTGTTATCTCCTCACAGCTGTCACTGTCAACAGGGCCTTGGCCCGCATGGAGACCCACACCTTCACAGGCTTAAGTTTCTTCTATCTATGATATGGGATCTGGAAGAGGAAGTCAGGGAGGAGATAGCACAGCATAAGGCAATTAAATATGGAAAATGATACGAGGCGCGATGTGGAAGATTAGAATAAGATCGACCACAATCAAACAAATGACAGCAGAAAAAATAACCCGCCTAGAATAACTAAAAGCAACTGCGTTTCCTGAGACAAAACACTTGATTTTTGAAACACTTTTGTGATTTCAGAAGTACTGCGCCCTTATTTATGAATGGATTCGGATACGCTGGTTCGGTTAGGACAGGGTAATGTTTGTTGTTGATCAGGAGTTTATGCATTTCAGATATAGTCTGTCTCGTTCTGTTTAGGAAATCCTTTCGAACAGAAAACCCTTCTGAATGAGCTAGCATTTAGGATATTTTTAGTAGCTGAACACCAACCGTTGGATGGATGGCAGATGCCAGGGTTGGTGGAGTGGGTTGGTTAAACGCTGGTTTGTTTGGTATCAGCGGGTGGGTCTGTGAATGTGCTTTTGGGGGCTTATGGACGGATTCCTGTGTGAGAAAAGAAAAACGAATTACTTTAGCAAGACTTATTGCATAACATGTACACTGTAAAAAATGACCGTGAATTTAACGGTAAAAGACTGTAAAAATGCTACAGTAAAAACCTGTTAAATGGTTAACGGTAAATTCCCCTACTATATACGGTGAAAAACTGTATTGGACATTACATGTATTAGACATTAATTTTACGGTAGTATACCATTTTTGGAAGTGAAAAAGA